TGGATCTGATGGAAAGAGGACATCAGGTGGCGTATTTTCTGCATAGTGATGGCCATAAGCCTAAAATACTCTATCTGGCCTGTGCTGCTACATACGCTTTGATCAGGGAAAGCAGCTGAATGGAAACTCACTGCTGTCTGGGTGGGGAAAGCCAAACGTGACCATTCCTCTACTTCAAAATCATATTTCATCTTCTCAGAGAAACAGATCCACTGCACACTGCACCCACCCTAAGCCATATAATTTTGGTCATCTGACTGCTAATGGTACCTAAGGCTTTTCACAGACCTGCCTGGACTCTTCCTCTTGCCCAGAGCAAATCCATCAAGGATACTCGCAGTATCCCTGATCTGCTGCCAGCTGAGTTGATAGAAGTCGTCAGTGAGCGCAGTTCAGTCACTGCTATCTACCCAATGACCTTTCCTCCAGCCGAGAAGCTTAAAATAAGGTTGCAGTTGGAGAAGACCTGAATAGTATGCAATTTTTTAATTCAGCAAGGACTTAACCGGTGCTTGATGAGCTAATTCTGCTGGATTTTTAGAGGTAAACAGCGAGGGGAAAATATACAGGTCGGTGATCATCTCTCTTCCCCAGATAAAAAATATTGCTGTGTTCAACCGCAGTTTGGATTGAGGGCTACTCACAGCCTCCCAATAGTGAGTTTGCTGGGGTCTGTAAGCAAAATAATTCACAGCATCTGTGTTAGCATGTGTCCACACACTAACCGGTTCTCTCCTGCAGCCAGCCCCACTAGGAGAGCTTCACAGCAGCCTTGAATCTTGGGGCAGAAGACTCATGCGCATGCATTGCTTATATTACCTAAAGAACCACACAGAGACCTTCTTCCCAATGCGTTATTTCAAGTGTTGGTACCTTTCAGCTCTCCAAGACAGGCGTGTGTTCTGTGAAAAGCACCACTCTGCTTCCCACACAATAGAAATCGCTAACTAGCGTTTCCCTGACGATTTTATGTAATCCACTTTCCTCACAAGATACACAATGCAGCTCTCCCCCAAGCTCTCCCTCCCCACGACTGCAGCATGACAGCTAAATACTCAGTAGAGTCAGGAACTGCCTAATAATACTTTCGCACAGAGGTCCCCGTAAGTGTGCCTGAAATGGACGTTTTTTCCTATGCGGTATCACTTAGCAGCAAAACACTTATTCCATGATGTCAGGAACATTTCAAAAATTAAAGTAACAACTCTAAGAGACACCTACAGTACTAATTACTTTAAGCCATCTACCGCAATGTCCCACACTTAGGTGGAACCATCTAAATACTTTCTGTCTACTTTCGGACCTGGTGAGCTTTGCAAGTATGTTTTAGTTTACTTCCTTGTTTGTGGAACAGGAACACTGTTGGTAGCAGTCAGCAGCCCCTCAAGACTACGTGACCAGGGGAATACTCCTTGCTGCCAGAAGGGATCTTACTGTTCAGCAACCTTGTTCCGAAGTACAGGATTAAACACCATGGATCAGGCACCAGCAAAAGGCCAGATGCAGGAGTTGCCTTACGGGCAGCACAGAGCTGACGAAGGGAGTGCGCTCTTAAATCTCTCTCTCTCTCTCTCTTAGATCCAAGAACTGCTTTTTCACCATCTAGATCTAGACCTTGCATGGCCATCCTGCAACCAGGAACTGTGGCAGCTCAGTGGCCCAGATGTGGCTACATTTGCTCTGTTACCCATCGGTTGTTTTACCCTGATGGAAATCCCTTAATGAGTGGTTAGCTGCCTTTAAAGGAGACATAAATAATCCTTGACATAGTTGAGGTATGGCCCACAGAAACCACACTGTGCAATGGGCAAACAACTTGAAATTTTCATCTCAACCCTCCCCAGACTATTAAGAAAAGGTCTTGCATAATGGAGAGAACTCTTTTTGTGCCGTGTTTGAAATAAAGCACTTTTTCACTTAGCTGCTCTTAAGAGTTTCAACTTACAACAGATAACCCATGGTCCTTGATAGCATGACCACAGAAAATTAATTCTGTGACTATTTTTGTTACATAAAATCGTGCAATTTTGATGTAAGAAAATGGAGGGGATATTAAAATCCATCTGTTCTAGAAAACCACAGAGAAGGGCTTAGATAAAGCAGGTTTGTTTCAAAACCTGTGGGGCTAATTCATGCTCTGCCAAGATTAAGAAAATTAGTAGCCTCCTAGAAAGATAAAAATGAAGATCTGCCCAGTCTCCCATGGCACGTGAATGACAGTTATGCAATGTCAGTGTGGTCGCTTAGAGCTGTAACTCCTGAAAACACATGAAGTTGCCTGCGTCAGTGCAAAGAGATGATGCAGGCACTTCGTGACCTTTTCTGTTTGTTTCAGAACCACCAAATGTCAGTTTTGCCAATGATTTCAGACACTCAAGACTCCATAAAAACAGAGGGAATAAATAACACAGGGTTTGGCACTTCAAAAAAAAAAATCTCACAGCAACGCTTTCATGCAATTAGCTGCTTTGAATTAAGAAGAGTTAATAAATAATTAAATCATTGTATGTGCTGAAGCAAGTTGTGTTCAAGTAAGCATTTAAAAAGCTGCCTATTTATTTTGTCATTCCTTACACAAAGTAATTAATCATTTACAATGTTTTTTAAGTATTTAACAGTCAAGTAAGTGGGTGCTGCTATTTAATCATGGGACTGCACAAGGCTTCTGCTGTGATTATTTCCTGTGCACAGAAGAGGAAGACTGAGAAATGACTCTTTTTGGTGGGGTTATCCCAGTTCTACTACTCAAACTACAGAAAAGGGTTTTTAAAACAAAGGCTAGTGATTCAGCCTGGGCATAAAGGCTTCAAAGACTCCCCATATCACCAGAGACATCTTGAGTGACCTTGGAAAACTCTCTTCCCCCCTCTATATTGCTTCTGTTTTTCTATCAGAATGATGAGGAAAATGAGCTACCTTCCTGACTAGAAAAAGACTATGAATAGACAAAGATTTTTTAATTATATTAATTAGAAACTGTCTAGCATGAATATATGAGGAACATTCTCTCTCAAGGTTACCCTGAGAGAAAAAAAAAAAGAGTATTCTGCTTGCTCTCCCATTAACTAAAGCCAAGCACCCCAAGGCACTGTGGGAATGCTTCCCCTAGTGGTACATTCCGCCCTGCCCCCCCCCTTGTGTTTAATTGATTTTTTTTAAACACAGAGAAGTGCATCACATTTCACCACAGCTGACAAAACTGACAGCTGCCCACATCTTTCTGCATTATTTAAACATCATCTGTTTTTGTACAGCTAGGAATGTTCTGAAAGAAAGTGTCATTTCCCATGGGTAAGAACATTTTACAGAGTTTTTGACTATAACATGGTCTCCTCCTGAAAAGAAGAGGTGTGTAACAAGTAGAAGAAAATCAGAAGAAAAAAATACCCTTATTACAAGTAATGTCTTCGAACTAGAATGCAAAGTGTAGAATGCAGATAGCTTAGTTTCAAAAGCTGGGTAGAAACAAAAGGAATAGATGAAAGATAAGGGTTTGAGAGAAAGAAGACCGTGTAGATGAGACCTTCAGAGCTTTGCCAAATGGCTGCAGTTTGCATTTCTTAAATACTGGGGCAAGGGCTTGGTATACATACCAGCTGCAGCACAGCAAGCAGCAGGTAATTTGAGTACCCCACCCCACAGAAAACTAGATGCAGGAGGCTGACCAGAACAACAGTCATCTGGCTTGTTTAGTAAAAAATGGTTATGGCCCTTTGTCTCCTTTAAACCACACATTCCTTGGGGAATCTGTCGGTTGCTTGCATAGTTGGTGCTGAACAAGTAAGTCCTCAATGCAGCCAGAGGCTGAACAAGGTTTGGAAAAGCCCCACAGAGCAGACAAACACATTACAAGGAAGCAGCACAGTGAGAGAAGACCAGACGCATTCCCACCTCTGCTTCAGGGCAGGAATCTCTGTGGGTTCTGGCTCAAGGATTTCATAGGCTAAGTTAACATCTTCTGTCTCACGAAGCAGCGCATAGATGGGCTCAATCTGCTCATTAAATCTTGCCACGAGTGTCCTTGCATCCTTTTTGGGCATCGCCGATTCATCTTCTTCCACTTCAGTCTCGCAGAAAGTACAGCGGAAAGTTCCTAAAATGAAAAAAGTTGCTAAGCATTGGAAGGAAAGCAACAGGCCTGGCTCTTTATACAGCCTTTTAAACAGCAGTGCTTTGCCGTTTTCTTAGCTTGATGATAAATAGCTTTTCTCCCCCTGACAATCCCTTCCCACACACAGTGTACCTGGTTATTATTTAAGCAGACAACAAAGCAAGCATTTTGATGCCATCCAGTGATACCCAGTTGGGTACAGCTTCTCACTCTGAAAAGCCCAGATGGGCTGCAGTACCTCTACTGAGACATCTCCTAATCTCACTCCCTCTTTCTTTCTGCACATTTTAAATGTCAGCTACGACTGGGCTGCGATAAAAGCTTTACAATATACTCTTAGGAGTTCAAATATCGTCTGTTTCAGGTGCTTGCACTGGTATCTCCCAGGCCACCTGAACAGACTAATTTCACAATGAAGCAGGGTGTAGTTTTACACTGCACCAACCACTCTGCAGTAACTGCTAGTATAACCATTTTCACTCTGCAACTGATGCAAAAAAGATGGCTACTCCTTCTGTTTCAGGGCCAAAGATGCAAAATAGTCACTACTGCAGAGCAGCAAATGCAAAAATTTATCCCACCTAACCCCCATGTTAACTTCTTGAAATTAAGAATGGCAAGATAAGAATTGTATGAATGGCAATTAAGAATAAGCTCGTTTTACAGACCTCATCAGGATCTATAAAACCAGGTCAAACATAAAGGCAACTGAAATGGTTGCATGGCAATGCAGTTACAAAAAACCTACTGAACTCCTGCACAGCAGGCTTTTCAATTTCATTGCTCTATCTGCGAGTAGGACCCTTAGGGCAGTACATGCACAGTAGGACCTTACCATATGGCCCACTACGAAGGGAGAGCACACTTATCCTTGCAAGTGCTGGACTGAGAACGTACCTCTGCCTACTCAGAACGCTTACATCCAGAGCGATGCTCATCACAGGCTTCTCGATTTCTCTTGTCCCTGTGTGATTTTTTAGTTTATCCGTTCTGTGGCACCAATACACATCTAGCATCGTGACTCAATACCCCAGTGAAGAAAGGAAAGGATCTTTTTACGAATAGGGAGCCTGAGGATAGGTTATATCAGGGAAATTATAAGCTTATGTCTAAAAATCAGTATTAGAATCAGTATTGAAGCCTGCTATATCACCGATGCTATGTACAAACACATTGAAAGAACGGGGTTTGCCCAGGGCACATGGGCATGATGTAATGAGACAGGCTGGCAAGCCAGGGCTTCTGTTATCTTGTTTTGCTGCTTACACAGATTTGCTAGTCTTGTCACTTCATTGTTTCCCTGCCTGTAAGACAGCGATAAAAACAGACCTAACTTCCTCACTGATGGCTGTGAGGGCTAGACAATGCTTGCACGCTTCTTGGAAAACACACAAAAGCACTATTTATGACAGGAGATAGATCTGTTGCCTCTCACCACAGTCTGTAGAGATGCAGTTTTCTACCTCGGCACCATCTGAAGTGGCTTTTGCTCATTGTTACTCATAAATTAATGCTAGTGTGTTGTGTATGTGGCCTGTAATATGTACACATTTCCTGCAATAAACTCTCTCTTTAGAAAGTTTGTCTTATCTACATGTAAAAGCTAGAGCACCCAACAGCAGCAGTATGCAAAGTAAAGGATAAGTGGATAAAGTGCTCTTCTCTCCCATTCAAGCATGAAACACTCTGCTTATTTTTTCAGGCTGTAAAAATTGCCCCTACTGATTCAAAAATCGTACATTGTATAAGCTGTCAGCCCAGCAAAAATTGAAGCCAAAGTTTGGTCTCCTTATCCCACATCTTCTATCGGCATGACAAATTGGCAAACAAGTTGAATCAATTTAAAATAATTAGCACATCTCAGTTCCCATAATGGACTAAGTGAACAAACACAGGTTAATGAGGAAAATTCTCCTATTTTTACACCCCCCTCCAAAAAGTCCTGTTACATGTTCCTGAGACAGCTCAGACTTTTCACGCTTCCATCTGTGAACCCCATGAGTATTTGCAAAAGATTAAGATTGCAGGGAGAATGGTTCCAATTCAGAGTACCAAAAAATCAGAAAGTAAATACAGCTCTAATGAAATGGAACTCCTAAAGCTATCATGGATTTGCTGCAACTTCCACCCCTCGGGGTTCTTAATAAGCAAAAAAAAAGTTAATAGATGAATTATGTAAAGAATCTGGGAATGAGTGAAATGACAAGCTTCCTCCATTAATATGCTGATTTTTTTCGAGGTGATGCAGCATTTCACAAGAGGCATATGTGATTAGAGAACTGGGAAGTTGCTTTGCCATGGCAGATGGCATTTATATGTTGCAAACCTCTTTCGTTAGACTTTAAGAGGTCACAAAATGTCACCAGAGCTTTTATGACATGGCACATCACATCAGCAGTGACACATGTTCCTTACAGATATGAACTGCATGTGACAAACATGAAGCGGAGGCCATCCAAAGGCTGAGAATGGCAATGTTCCCACACCGACAATGTATTTCTTCCTTCAGCCCTTACAAAACTGATAGTTTTCCATTCAAATATACTGCATAAACCAGGACAAGTAGATATCCCAGAGCAAACAGACGTGATGCTTTCCTGCATCTTGGAAATGCTAATGGAGAGTGCATACATCCCCTCCTTTCCACACATGCTCAGGCACTCAACAGACCTCTCTGGCTGCATGTTAAAAGTCAGCCATCTGAAAGAGGTCTCCTCATCTGCTCCCAGACTCTCCAGGGCAGATGTGCTGGTAATCTGGCTCCCCAAGGCATACGAAGATTAAAGCAGCTCAAGCTCTGAAGTATAGGGCCAGAATATTTAGAGATAATTCCTGAGCCTGAGCCCAGGTCCTGCTCACACCCTTCTCAAAGGGTTCAAGCCTCACCTCCAGCCCAACGAGGTGTCTCCCCTCCACTCTGTCCTTTGGCATACCGCCCCAGACTCTCACTACTATACTTACAAACTATTTACTTTTTAACCTAAACTTATTCCCATTCATTTCAAACCTATTTACTGTTGTGCCAAAAACTGAATCTAAGCTCAGCTAGCTTCCATCTTGGCTGTTGATCCTTCAGGCATATTTACAAAATGCTGTCTTATTCATCCCTCCATCTTCATTTTGCAAGGCTCAATAAGCCACACATTTTTCTTTGCCTTTTAAAACTGGCCACCCATTCCTCCGACCATGCTATCAGCCTCATTGAGCACTTTCTCCAGTTTGTTCTCGTCTCTCTGCTGTAAAGCTGGAAGTATATACAAGTGTCCAGATGAGTCTTCCCAAAAGCCCAACAGCATTAGTGCTTCTTTGATAGCCATTGAGACCTTTTAAGATGACAGTGTAACAGATCATGAAAGTGCTGCCTCAATTATCACAAGACCTAGCAACGCTCCCAGACCTTTCTTCCTCCTTTGTAGTTTCCAGTGGATGAGCTCCACGTTTACAGGAGACATTTGCATTAGATGCTAGGTGCATGACACTGTACTTTATACTATAATCTTCCAGCTCCTTTTTATTCCTCCAGCCTTCATCCTCATCCAATTCTTTATTCTTGACTGCATCACAAAACATTAAGCTAATTTATTTTCAAAATCTCCCACAACCTTCTTTTAGAAGCAGCATTATCACCATTACATGGAGAGTGAGCTAAGGCACAGATGGCACAATTTCAGAAGTATCTGCTGATTTGAGCAATACTTGATTCGAGATGCCTAAGAAATGCTTTTCTGAAACTTCTGTTTCAGCAAAGAGCGTGCAATATTTTACCCATCTTCTTCCAGGCTCTAGAATCAGGCATCTCAAACGAGTTAGGTACAATAGCTAATGATAGCTTTTGAAAAGTTTAGCTCAAAATGACTAGTCCAACACCACACAGAAACTCAGCTGGCCTGGAGGATCAGATCATATTCCTGTGGCTACTACAGCCATTTTCTTCAAGTAATTCCCTGACTCTCACACTGCACGTTTTTCCTTCTTCTGCAGCAAGCCAGACAAAAACTGCATTATAAGCGCACAGCTCATCTCTCTCACTGAGCAAAGCACATGTTTTGTGGGGGAAAAAAATTATGTTGCAGAGAAAAAGTTACAGGATGCATAAGCAACTTTAATGTTAGCATTCTCTAACACTGAGTGCTTCATCTGATTTTAAAAAGAGAGTATTAAGACTTTCAGGAAAGGACAGGAGCTTCCTAGATTCCTGTCAATAGGAAGCCGGACAAATGTCTCCTGCCACGTGATGCTTTGCCGACAGCCATATGGTTAATGTGCAGACCTGGAGCCCTCAGTTCCGCACAGGCCTCCGCCATTTGACTGTACGAAATAACAGAGAAGATGACAACCTGCTAGTGCTGTGTGGAACGGCTGCAGGGGGAGCAGGATGCCTTGCCAGCTTGCTTCCTGGCAACAAATGGAAGATGAGAAGGAAACACCTTGGGGTCCTGCTCTAGCTTGTCAGAAGAGATGTGTTTTGTGGGAACCTGCTATCCTACCTGCTAGCCCCAAGCCTGAGGTTTCCTACCCAGCTCTTCCCATCTGCTCCCACCCCCGTCCCTGGTTTTTCCCCACTCTGATGGTCCTGTCCTCCTTGCTAGCAAGTCCTGGTCTATCTAGTCCTGCTTTCTCAGCCTGGGCTTCTCTCACTTCTCAGACTTCCCTGTCCATCCTTCTTTTCCTGGGCTGCTTTTTCCAATCTCAGCCTCTCCCCACTCCCGTGCCTCTCTGCCCCACGCTCTTCGATCAGCTAATTCTGCTTCCTAATTTGAGCCCCGGTCATCAGATTAATTTCCTGTTTCAAGCCAGAGAGATGGAAGATCTTTTCACAGAACAACCTTCATTCAGAACAATATAACACAGGCAAAGGAATATGCATTTCTTCGGTCTCCTCTTTTTTCTCGTCAGCCCATTCTTCAAAACGGCCAAACTGTTTTTTGATTAAATTTTCCTAAGCAATTTAAACTTAGTTGGATGCATAGAATGGGGAAAAC